CAGGCCATCTCCAGGGAGGAAACACAACATTTGTTCACGTCCATGGGTTCTAGACTTCAGACAGTTATTGACTGCAAAGGATTTTCATCCAATGAATAAAAAACAATTCTTGTATTTAAGAATATGTTTGTTTGTCTAGTTACTTTTGTGCCTCTTAATATAGGGACTGTGTACAAAAATGACTGTAATTCCTGAACAGTTAATGCAACACTTTGGTTTAAAGTCTTGACTCAAAGCTGAAAGTCTGCACTTCAATCAACATGTGATAAATTTAAAATCCACTGGGTCAGTGTACAGAGAGATCATGCAGGAGGGAGCACGGTAAGATGTAAAACATATGCAAAAACTAAAACTGAAAATCAGGTTTCTTGAGGAGAGTTTGCAACATACACATTTACCCTGAAAATGCATTTGTTCTTTCAATCACAAGGCAATGTTATATTTACTGACAATGCTGTGCCATTGCTTTTGCCATTTCAATCGGTACACTTTATAATCACATATTAAAAAGAGGACACTACCTTTCTGTCGACTTGCTCTAGTGTTTGGTAAATCCTCAAATTCACCAGCTGCTTTCACGGTTTTATCCCACAACTAAATAATAGCTCTGGCTCAGGCTGTATTTACAGGGTAATGAATGGGTGCAGCTTTCGCATGCTCATACAGCAAAACAGCCAGCAGTCACTTCCAGGCCATGCTCAGACACACATACTCGCACACACATACTTGCAATCATAAACACACACCTGTGAAAGCAATGATGGGAGTTTGTCTGTTTGTGCTCGCAGGGTCATGTTTGCCTCATTTAGGCACTATTGTTGCGATGATAGAAACTGTATGCAAACTCATTTGAGAGCGGGACATACAGTCAGTTTGGATTAGGTATCTGAGCTCTCAGCGTTTGAAATTAAATTACAAAGTGACAACAGATTAAATGTTAATTTGTTGCTGAGAGACACTGCTGGAATTTGGTTGCTCCAACGTTGTAACTGTGCTTAGCTTTAAGTAATGAACTAGTTTGTTTACTGAAAAGTGAAGCAAAATTTCCATCGTTCAACTGGAACGGAAGTGCATATCTGAAATTAGGCTAGACAGACGGACAGACAGATAGACCGATTTTGCAAGCAGGGATTGTTCAGTAAATGAGCTAAAAGAAAATGAAGGGAAACTGAGGTGGACTTTATCTACTTTGAACAGCAAGTGGCTGATAGCATAGAGTCATAAGCGACTGCAGCTCACCTGGGCCTTCCTCTATAAAAGCTGCTCCATGCCTTCATTTGCGCTCTCTCTCTCCTCCATCCACCTGACACCATCCCTCTTTGGTGTCTGTGGTTTTCTTTTTATTAAATTCTATTTTTATTTAAGTAATTATCTTGTGTGGACTCCCCACTCGGCACTTACATAGAGCCATTGTGTGACCGTAAAGATATAGAAGTACTGATGTCGGAAACATTATAGGTATTACAGACGTTCATATAACCTGTAAACATAATAAATGCATTAAAAAAAGAACTAAGCATGAACTTATTACACAGTAAGGCAAAACAGAATGTGAGCAAAGACCTGTAATAAATGACTAAGCGATTTCTTACTCATACATACAGTATTGCACAAAAGTCTTGAGCCAACCCACATTTCTTTATATTTTAAGAAATACGTGCAAAGATTTATTTAAATATGCAACCATACGTACGGCATATGAGGAAAAACTACGGTGGCCCTGAGAGGCCAAATGGACTGCAACTTAAGAAAACACCAGCAATAAGAAGAAAAAGAACGCTGCAAAAGCACACAACACACAACGGAAATAGGAAAAACTAAATAAGAAGAAAGAAAACAGAAATCGGGGGAAAAAAGATTTCCAAAAGCACAAGGGAAGTGTTTCTGGGGAGACAATAACCCGACGGACCAGTTGCAGGAACCAATATGCTAAGAATTGCGCTGGGAGACACTTACAAGAAGTGGAGGATCTATCGGTTTTATGAGGAAAGAAAAGATGAGAGGTAAGTGTGTTAGCCTAGCTATTAGCCTAAAATCCGTAATCAGTATTATATGAATCATGAGATTAAAACACACTTACCTAGCATGTTTTGGTTCCTGCAACTGGTCCGTCGGGTTATTTTCTCCCCAGAAACACTTCCCTTGTGCTTTTTGGAAATCTGTTTTTTTCCTATTTCCGTTGTGTTTTGTGTGCTTTTGCAGTGTTTTTCTTATTGCTGGTGTTTTCTTAAGTTGCAGCCCGTTTGGCCTCTCAGGGCCGCCGTAAAAAAACAGAGTTTGTGCATAACAAGCTTGAAAGTCAATATTACAGCTCAAACTTACACAAGCTTTCTTTTTAATTTCTTTCAGTAGACTCCAGGCTTCATGAAGGACATTTTCTGCTTGTTTCATTGCTCTGTCTCATTGTGTGTTTTTCTATTCAGGTATGATTTTACTACATGGGATCATTGTCATCCTGAAAAATGGAGCAGACTCCCTCCAGATGATATTATACTCTGGATCAAAATCTAAAGGTGGTTTTGACATAGGCTGTGTCGTGTTTTACAGAAGGCTGCAGACACTTACTGTTGTACTGCTGCCCTGACTTCCTCTGCACATATTGATAAATGTCAAATTTGGTCTCATCACTTCATACAACCTGTGGCCACTGATTTTCAGTCCAGTTCTTGTGATATTTGGCATACTTCACCCTTTTCGTCCTGTTTCCATTCATTAAAAATGGCTTCTTGGCAGCCGTTTTTCTGATGAGGCTTCGCCGAGCAGTAGATCGATCAATTGAAGCACCAGCTGCATCTCTCACTTCCTGTGTCAGGTCTTTGCTTGATTTTTTCCTGTTACTTCAGAATAAGACTTTCAGATATTGTTCATCTGCTAAAGAAGTTTTTTTTTAGTCCTGCCACTTCTTTTGTCCTTTTTGTTTCTTCACATTCTGTAAGGACACTGTGCGCACCATGCTGAGATATGCGAAGGTTTCAGGTAATAGTCATTTTTGGACTCACCTTGTTGGTGCCAAAAGACTATTTTGTGTCTGTCATACTGTGTTATGTTTGGCATTTTCATAGGCTCATCTAAAGAAATGGGAACAAATAATGTGTTTTTATTACAAGCTGCTAGTAACAAAGTGACTGAATTTAAAATTGGCCCTTTGCTGTCTGTAATGTGTAGACACAACATTGGTTCATCCAAAAGCCTTGTTTATGCATAAATGATTCATAGGTCAGTGTTAAGTGGCTTAACCAACAAAAACATTCCTGTGAAAATGGTCAGGTAAAATCACTGGACTGAAAATCAGTGAAAAAGCAGCCAATTTCCAAAGAAAAACTTTAAAAGACCTTCAGAAATTTTAGACAAGTATTGCTCAAGAACAAAAAAAATTGAAAAATAACTAGAAAGCATGGCTCCTTCGAAACAAAAATATAAAAAATTAGGGTTGCAGTGTTGTGGACTTTATACCGGTCCGTCATGGTGAAAAGAGAGCTGAGTGGAAAAGCGAAGCTCTCAACTTACCAGTCGATCTACGTCCCTACCCTGACCTGTGGCTACGAGTTCTGGGTAATGACCGAAACATCAATGAGCTTTCTCTGAAGCGTTGTTGGCCTCTCCCTTAGAGTTAGGGTGAGGAGCTCAGCCGTTCAAGAGGGGTTTAGAGTACAGCTGCTACTCCTCCACATCGAAAGGAGCCGGTTGAGGTGATTTCGGGCATCAAACAAGGATGAGAAAGGCATGTCCCTCTGGGAGGAGGCCCTGGGGCAGACCCAGGACATGCTGGAGAGATTATATCTCTTTGCTGGTCTGGGAACACATTGGTGCACGCCTGGATAACCCTGCGACCCCGGATGAGTGGAAGAAAATGGATGGATGGATGGATGGATGGATGGGTGACACAGTACTGTACATTATTTCTACTTTACAGTAAACAAATCACATTTAAAGACCAAAGCAACTATTTTTCTATCAACTATTGCTGCTAGAGCCTAAAGTCTAATATCATCTAAACTATATTAAATGACAATACACAGCCACATGTTGCTCGATAAATCCACACACTAGTGTTGTGCTGTAAATATTTACTGCTGGTTTGTGCATTTATCCCCAGCTGCACAAAATGCACTATTTACTCTGAAGTAAATATAATTTCCTAAAGAAACTGCAGAGCCTACCCATGCCAAACCAAGCTGAGGATAAGTTTCTTTGATGGTATTATTTCTGACTGAGGAAAACAACTGCAATTGCATATTTCTCGAGACATCTCAGACCGGTCACCATCTGTTCATACTAAAAGGAAGTTATGGGGGCAAGTTATTACGCAGCCATTTTACTGGTCACACTGGGCTGTATGTGGCAAAATGAAGTTGTGTCCTACTTTAGGAGGAACAACTGAGCTTGGGGCTGCAAGAATAGCGAGCTCTGAGTGAGAAGTGAGATAGGCTAACAGATTGCTTAGGTCTTGCCGTGGGATTTATGGAAATTCTATAAAACATAAAACATGGAAGAACACCTAGAGGAAACATTTGTTTCTATGACAGTCTGCACTTTGTATGGCTTCTGCACGTTTCCGATGACAGAGATGAACAAAGGGTCAGCAATGTGACCCAGGGTCATAGTGCTGTCCAAAAGGCCAATAATGTCTGTGACAAATGTCAGAGAATCTGGTGTTACTGTGAACCTGCATGGATTTATTGATTCCCTCTCTTTTTGTTTCTGTTCACAAAAGCACAAAAGTTTTATGCCCACTGCAAGCCATAAACATTTCCCAGAGTCAACAACATCCCTCCATTTTTTACACAGTCTCCCACCTCTTCCCTTTGTGTGACCGGCCTCTTCATTTGAGTGGATTTGTTTTGTTCCTCTTGTTTAGGCCTGGGCTAATCTCCCTCATCGGCACAGCTTTGGCCTGCTCTTTCACCCGCTCTCCCTCGGAAAGACTGTTTGTAGTAAAGATTGTAATCTAACGGCTAATCTTTACGGCTTTCTCCAGGGCAGGGGCACCGAGCCTGGCCGAATGATTTGCCAGAGATGCAGAAACTTCTTTGTGAGCTGGGATTGAAGGAAAGAGATTCTACACATATTCAGATGTGCCAGCTGTCACTGCTGGAGTTGTCAACTAGTGAGCCAGAAGGTGTGTCAGGTTGTATTTGTTTTCTGATAACGCTCATTACTTATAGATTCTCATACAGTTCAGTTTTCCTTACTGTATAGAGAGCCAATTATTCAAAAAAAGAAGATGTGTGTCTGAAGTGTTCCCTACTACTCTTCCTCTCTTTGCTAGTAAAGCCACATATGTCTGTCATAGTGAGGCACAAGCAGTACCACCAAGCTGCCTCTCGTCACTAACACAACATAAAGAGATTTACTAATGCAGACTGTTAACACAGCCAGTTTTAAACACAGCCTGGGTTTTATACAGCACTACAGCAAGCAGTCCCTGGACGGCATGCATTATACACATCTAATTAAGTCTTCACATGTCTATAATAAACCACATTATGCCTTTGGGGGCTAGAGGGCAGGTCAGTAGCTGGCGTCGAGCTTGTGTGAGACAGCCAGTTGTCAGCATGCATGTGTGCATGCACGTGCATGTCCGAGTTTGTGTTTTTTCAGAATCATGCCTATGATAGCTATTTAACTTTCACTAATTAACCCAGAATAAATCAGGACAGCACAGTAAATATTTGTAGCCAAGGGAGTAGAGCAACGGAGATGCTCCTCTGTGGCGCTATCACGCCACTGGATGATGAGAAAGGACTGTGGCGGGGGTTGAGTGAAAGATGCACAGAGAAAGGGACAAACTGAGACAGAGATGGAAAGAGAGCATGGCTGAGGAGGGCAGCTGGCCAGCTGTTAGCATAGTTTGATTGGCCTGTGGAGAGCTGCCTCTGTCTTTTCATGGCACCAGTAAAGTGCAGTGCTCCCAGTAGCAGGTGGCCGCTGCCCATCGCCTACCTCCCCCTGGGACAACAGGGACAAAGATCATCAGTCGCTCCCTTGTTTTTTATTAAACACCTTCATGGTCTGCGGCTCCATAGCTACTGAGAAGGAAACAGAAAGGCTCTTTTTTCACACAGAATAACTAATCAGCACATTAAAGTCAGGAAAACTATTTTTAATGGCACAGCTACAGTGCACTCGCTACCCCCCCCCCGTTTCTCTGACATCAAAGTGTCGGAAGACCTGATGCTACAAATCAGAGGCGCTTCAAACAGCCCACACAGATTTACACAGGTTGCTTCAAACATGGCATAAAAATGTGGAGTAGTCGTCCTTTCCTTCACGAAGCCGGGTTTGGCAGTTGGAGGGATAAGGCTACAGTAAACCGAGGGAAAAGAACAGCCTCTGTAAGTGCTCTGAGTGCTTTCACCCCCCTCTTCCTCCCCACCCGAGCAGCTTGACAGCCAGGTCTCGGTGACCGTGTTTGTGACAATCAGGCTACTTCACATCATCACTTGGTTTAGCTGTTGCCATAGCAACGCAGGGTACAGTAACACCGCCAGCCTCGGCTCGATTGTGAGTTGATACTCCTGGTGTTTGCTCTTTTCAGTGCCAGAAAACTGTATTTCCACATTGTTAGCCACACAACGCAAAGCAAACTCCAATTTCGCTCAGTGTCTCCATTTTTTTCCGTCTCTGTCTCTTGCCCCCCCACCCCCACGCTCTCCTCTCTCCACTCCGTCTCTCCAGAGGGGTGTAATTCAATTCTCTGAATACACTTCAGAGAGGAGTGTGAAGACTCATTTAAGCCTCTCTAACACTTGTGAGTTTTTGTACCAAATGTTACTTATTTTCACTGGCTTTGGATCCTGGAAGGCCGCGCGTTTGTTTTTTCTGGCTTCGTCCAGTAATTCAACTATTCTGAGGATTATTTTTCCTGGAATCTGAGATGAAATTCAACCAAACTGCAAAATCAGTTTGGTTTCAAACTTTGCAAAATTACTCCTATTTTTTGCTGAAACAATTTTGTCTGATTTCTCATATTTTTCAGGGGTGATAAACGGTCCTTTTTTAAAAATAGCAGCACCGACCAGGATTCACTAGCGTTTATTGTAGAAAAAAGCCTAATAAATGAATGATACCACATATTAGCCTGCGCGGCTATTATCCGAGGAAAATGAATGTGAGGTTCATTCGTTAACTGCTCCTCTTTGTTATTCAGATTCACTCCATTGTACAACCTCAGCACCGTGAAGGCAGAGCAAAGAATCAGAAGTTGTCTGGCGACAAAGGTGTTACTCAAAGGTGAGACAGACTGATGGGACAAAGGCTTTGAGAGGCATATTGTAACACTGCTCCTCCTTGGAGTGGTTATCTCCCTCCACTGTCCTTGAGCTTTTTTGAGCAAGTCAGCAGACATTCTGCCAAGCAAAGTCCATTTCTTTAGAGGTACACGTTTATATAAAAGCAAGGAAGCAATCTCTTACCGAATGGTTGTCCGTGTGTAATTAGGATTACAGTCACATTTAAAAGGAGTGCTTACTTGGCTCTGTGTCGTGAGCTGTGGCAGCGAGAGCTTTTCTGCTTTTGGATATGAGCTGGCAAGAAGGTCAGGATGTGGGCTGGCAAGAAGGGCACCGTGTCACTCCCGACCTCTCGGAGGGGCTTTGCTGCGAGGGGTGGGGTGGGAAGGGGGACGATGACATGTGTCTCGCTCTGCCAAGTCCTGCTCCAGCACTGTAATAATACCCAATTATAACCTGGACTAATTGGAATGGCGTTTTGTTTTTCTTTCTGTTATTTCAGAAAGCTGACAGCAACAACTCACGGAAGGATCGATGGCGGATTACGAGGCTCATGGAGCTGCATAGAGAGGAGGGCTCAGACTGAGGCAGCAGCTCTCATTAAAGCCCGGCCTGATCTCAGCCAAGCCCTGGGAAAGGAGGGTGAAAAAGGCAGGAAAAAAAAGAGGAGGGAGGAAGAAAAGGGAAAGCTGCAGGAAGAAAAAAACACAGAGAAAAGTTTACTGTCCCCTTTGGACATGGCCTCTGTTGGACTCTTATAAATGGGTATTGTTCCCCATGAAGCGCACAGCGACTGTTTACAGTTTCCCATAAAGGAGGGCTTTATTCCTGCTCAGGGATGCATTGTGACAAGATAATTTGAATAGCTGAGGTCTTACCACAAAGCTATAAACATTTACGGGCAGTTGACACGGAGAATAAAGAATGAGCCACGTAACCTCTGCAAGATGCCGGCCTGACTCCTGATGACACAGCCAAAGCTCAGTCGACTACTTCCAAACTCTGCCGCCGTCCTCAACACGCTGGCAGACGGGGCGAGGAGGAGACAAACGCAGAGAGGAAAATGCAAACAAGCACATAAACAGGAGCAAAAGAAAGACAGATAACTAAAGAGAGGCGATGCAGGTCTCCGACGTCCCCTTTGACTCGTTCCACAATGAAATGGCAGTGTCTTGTTTTTATGTTTTATCACAGAAGTCGACCGCGAGAGCAGACCCACGGGAGCAGCCAGACATGAGGCTGAATTCGATTAGACGGTAATCGGAGATGGACAGGCAGTGGTGCAGTCAGCGCCCGCGAGCCGAGGGGACTCCATAAGCAAACTATCCCCATGACTTTCTAGTTTAGCGATCCGTCGCGGTGGCCTTTATGAGTGTTTATAATCCACGACTTAGCTTGGTTTCGAGCTTTGTTTTAACTCTCAAAACCATCCTCTGGAGTGCGTGCAGTAATAATATCAGGAGTCAGATCCATTAATGAATTACCAACCTCATCTCACTGCTGCTGCCATCTCCACGGGCTTAAGTAGGGAAACTGAGGTCTTGGGGAATTAGTCACATTGGATTGCATTTTCTTTGAGACTTTCCCATCTACACACAATCTTCCACCTCTCTGTCTATCTTTCCCGCTCTCACTGCTACAAAGTTGTGTTTCCTTTTTCCCTTTTTTCTCCTTGTGCCTTACTTGGCATTCTGTTCATTCTCCAAGATGTTTCCAGCGTAACCAATGATTAACAATTATGCCAGTGCATCTAATTAATGCCGGCTAATTACGAGGTTGAGATGCTGACGGGGAATGGGGGGTAGGACTAGGAGATTGCAGCATCAGAAATAATCAGGAGAGAAGAAGAGGCTGTAGCAAAAAGCCAAAAAAAAAAAAAAAACAGAAGACGATGAAGAGAGGGAGAAGATGGGAAACTAGTGTCTTAATTGGCGTGCTCAGTTTTTGTCTCAGGACCCTGAGCTTATTACATTAAAAAAAATTGGAAAAGTTGTGCATAAAATTGTTATACTCACTCATCTAATTTATTAGCCATGTGCATCACATTAAAGAAAAAATAAAAGGGATACACGGGATGTCTATTTTCCCACTTCTGAACTGAATGGGAATTAAGTTTAAACCACGTGAGGTCCCTGGAGTGGCGGGGAAACTCAAGCCATAATTACGTCCATAAAATGCCCACAGACAACTAATTTGCTGTTCATTTGTCAAGAGCTGGTAAACCGAAATAGCCAACGCATGCACGAAACGCGCACACACACTTCGACCTTTAATATATATATAAATCACACCAACTAACGATCGCTCTCTCTTCATTTACCCTATTTCTTTTTTCCTTCTTTTACAATCCACACACCATAGACCTCTGCCCAGTTCCCCACCTCAAGCAATACTTCATTGGGAAAATAGCCAAGAAAAACGAGCTCTCTCCACGGCTCATAATGAGGCTGCACGGAGCGTTCATTAGCATAGTCAGTGTCTACGGTCCTACAGTATATCGGGGCGTTATGTTCAGTGACGTTTTTATTCCTGCAACTATTGTGTAAGGGCTCCATAATACTGTCCAAGAAAGAAAACACATCATATATTAAAGGGACATGATTCCTGCTTCCTATTCAAATGAGCACATCTGAAGAGAGCAAAGATGGAAGAGGGGGAAAAAAGAAAAAGGAAGGGGGGGGGCGTGGTTGGGGAATTACCCGGAGAATAGTAATTATATTCAGAGGAACCAATTTAGAGTGCATGTTTGTTGTTTTTTATCTTTCGGCTCAGAGAAGGGGTAGGAGGCTGCGCAGCTCGGAGCGGTGACACGGGTCCTTCTCAGTCTTCCGAAGTGTATTAAACTAAATGATTGACAATGATTGAAACCACATGGAGCCCGAGGCAAATTACCGGGGGGGAGACTTCATTGTGCAGATCTGCTGCCGAGCTGCTTTCACAATTCATGTTTAGAGTGGGGTGGGGAGCTTTCTGCAAAAAATGGATATTTGTTAGTCATACAAATGTAACATAAAGTTCAAGAGGAGGATAAAGAAATTTTTCCGCATCCTGTAAGACAGGATGTAGCTCTCAGTGGGTTGTGAGACGCTGAGCTAACACTGCGGCCTGCTCAAACACAATCAGAACAGCAGCAGGTGAAGTCAGGGCCAACGAGCTCGACTCCAGGGATGTTTGTCATCGGGTGTTGAACAGGGCGGGTGGCGGTGGTGGGGGAGTGGAGGGTTATGTTTAGCGCTGTCAAAGCGAGCCATTTGTGTTTGAGATGCTGCATTGAATAGCGCTTCCACCTGGCAGAACTCAGCCTGAGTGGATTTCCATCTATTTTCCAAGTCCTCACCCTTTTAGTGTCAAGGTAGGAAGCGTTAAGTTCGATGGGAATCTTAAATAGTAAATCAATAGTGCGGCATTTATTTATTTATTTTCATTCAGGAAGTTGCATCTTAGTCAATATCCTGCATCATTCATCCTCACCTCCATCTTCCTCGCAGCATCGTCGAGCCTCGCGTGCACATCTGAACTCGTTAAGTTCAAATGAAAATGTGCAAAATAATCAGCGGCTCCCATCAAAAGCAAACAAAAAAGAGCGAGAGAGAGAAATGGGAAATTTTAGGAGTGTTTCAAGACCACTCGTGAAAAATAAACATTAAAATTCAAGGATTGCGTGCAGTCTTTTTTTGTGTAAAGCCTTCTCTTTACTTAAAAGTCCATTAAGTTGTAGCAAGCTGTGAATGGTGCGCATTTAAATGTGAGCAGAGACGCATATTAAACCCTTGCTTTTCATAAGTGACATTTTTGTTAACGGCAGCTTAAGACTGATTTCTTTTTGAGTTCGGAGAAGCTGAACTTTGGGCATTTAGTCGCTGGCTCTCGACAGAAGTAAATGTCCAGTTAATTAGTTTCCAGGGTCTATGGGGCATTTGCCAGCAGGAAGAAGAAAAGGGGAAAAAAGCAACCGTCAGCTGAGTGTGCTTTTCAAATTCGTGTAGCAAATGCCTTGGGGTAGGGTGGCAGGAGCCAGATGTAGTTGTCTGAGGACAATAGATGAAAAATTCGTCTAATATCATTCCTTTTTGGAACCATTACATTACAGCGGCATAGGCATGGGGGCTCTGGCAGTTCTCCTTCCAGTGAGACAAACATTTTTATCTTGCAACATCTCCTATCATGTAGGTACAGTGCCGTTTAATTTATTGTCTATGATGTAATAGCCAGATCCAGTGTAGTAAACATTAGAAGGGAATAGCTCACTGAATACTGTTGTGAAAGTCAATAGGGCTACAATAACATAAATCAATGGCAGACAACAGCCCAAAGCTTATGCAATGTTCTACTAAATTAGGCATGTAACAATTAGAGCGGTGCATTTCTTTCCCCTCCCTCTCTCTGGTGTGACCTTTGATTAAGGTTCTGTCAGTACGGGGGTGTGAGGCCAAAGGGGTGTTGGGGGGAGTGTGTCATGCATGGCCCCGTGTGATTACTTTAGATGGTGCAAGGTGAGAAATTTATGAGGCAACTTGTGTGTGACGTTCCTGTGTGCGCGTGCACGCATTTTGAGAGAGGTGGTGAGAAGAGGGTGGATTAGTGATGTGTCGCCCGGTGTCATTAAGACGGGGGGCGGGGGCTATACAAATAATTTCATGGGTGTTTGCTGTTTACAATCCTCTGCTCTGGACGCACTTAAACTGCAGTGCCAGCTGCAGACACAGCTCCTAGTCTCCCTCAAATGTTGCTTGAGGGGGAAGCTGCTATTCTTCTCCCGAAGCCTTAAATAACGTGGTCTATAACATTTTTCATGTAGTGACCCTCTGTTCAAGTCACACGCTAAGATGTTAAACCTTTTTACAGCACTCTCCCTGTTTATTTTTATTCCCCAGCATTGGCCAAAAATAATAAAAAATAAATAAATAAAAATCACAAAACAGTAGTGTATCAAAACAAGCGATGAGCTCTTTGATCCCTCCGCCTGGCGTTTACAGGGGTCGTTATGGTCACTTTTTGAAGACTGTATGCAAAATGATGAGGCGGGTAAAGCACCTTCTGAGGGGAACCCTTGGTAATTGACCTTGCTGTCTTGAGCCTAGTCAGCAAGCAATAAAGAACGGTTAAATGTTAAGGCAGAAACTAAAGTGCTTGAAGGGCTACACGTTCTCTGCATTAATGAAATAATAGCCCGGCTTATTTCATATTCTATGCGAAACCAAGGTCACCATTACATGCTGTTTAATAGGCCATGTGAGGGTGAAAAGCTCTGATTTGAGTGAGCGCATCTCTGTGTATGTTTGTGTTAGCGAGAGAGGAAAAGCGAGCGCGTGCGTGTGCGCGTGCGCCTGCGCGTGCGCCTGCGCGTGTGTGCTCATGTGTACATATCTAAGTATCTGGGAGGCTTTTTTCATGCCAGGGAGAAAATGAATATTGGAATGATTACCACTTGATTAACGATCCGGCTTAACAGGTATATGTTTCTGATTTAACAATGCAGATATATCAGCTCGCTGATTAAAACTAAAATTAGAAATGCAATGACAGGGCACCTGAATGATTTAAATGAAAGTCTCACTTGCCGGTTGGTGTCAC